TGCTGATATCTCCCTATAAAACCAAGCTCACACAAGCAAGTCATTAGAGCTTTATTGTGGGTAAGCTCAGCACAGTCAGCCACAGGGAGCAGCTGGCCCTTAGTTGCCTGTCTCATTGGAAAACTGCAGCTTGTTTCCACCTAGATCCTACAGCAGAGATCTTGTGGCCTTTTCCACCCCACAGCAGAAACCTCCGTCTCCTGCAGGGCAGCAAAACGAAGACCTTTCCTCTTATCCAGGAAACTCCAGTACCTGAAGGAGCTACAGGAAAGCTGGTGAGGGAATTTTACAAGGGCATGTAGCAATAGGACAAAGGGCAGTGATTTAAAACTGAAAGAGAGTAGATTTAAATCAGATATTAGGAAGAAATCCCTTACTGTGAGGATGGTGAGACACTGGCACAGGTTGCCCAGGAAGCTGTGGATGCCCCATCCTTTGAAGTGTTCAGGGTTGGATGGGGCTTGGAGCAACCTGGTCTAGTGGGAGGTGTCCCTGCCCATGACAGGGAGGTTGGAACTAGGTGATCATTAAGGTCCCTTCCATACACAAACCCAAATTTCCATTTAATTGGCTCTTCCCAGCCACAGGGATCAGTTCCCTCCTCCACCTTCCCACAAACCCCAGAAGTGCTGCAGGGGGAAGGAAAGGTCCAACCCTCATTTGCAGGAAGCACATGAGAGGGTTTTTTAAAAATAATTGTTAAATGCAGCTATTTAATAGCTTCCAAAAGCCCTTAAGCTCCGATTTTACTCCTGTCCCCCTGTCAAATTAAATTTACACCAGCCACTGCTGGAAAGGGTGAATGAAGTTCTTTTTCTTATTTGTATCAGGAAAGAACATACAGCCAGAAAATGTAGTGGCAAAGCCAGCTGTCCTTTAGGCAGCTGATTTCACAGATAAGTTACTCCTCAACTGTGCACAGTATGGATCTGATCTTGCAAGTGGCCCCATGGGGACATGTCCTGCCAGCTTCTATGCAGAGCAGGGCCAGTATAGGACAAATCAATGCAATGCTAGGGTGAACAAAACTCATCTTAACACACACAGTTTTTAGACTTGATTGAGCCTCTTGAAATCAATGGAAATATTTCCTTTGCCACGTGTGTCTGCATCACACTGATCCCACAGCTTGTGGGGCCCCCCCTGCTATTTAGCAGCACACAGGGGGGGCCAAAAGGCCCAAAGCTGGATATCGCCTCCACAGTGGGCAGCAGAGTTGCTTTCTTGACCAGCTCCTTTCTTTCACCTTTTCCATTCATTTATTTGTGGCTCTTCCAAACCATGACTTTATCCATGGGGAAAGCAGACACAGCTGCTCCCCCTCCCGCTCCAGCATCTGGCTGTGCCCAAGAGAGATGCAAAGCAGAGGGAAAATGGCTCTGGATGTTCCTGAGGGCTGTGGGTGCCTGGAAGGGTCCTGGGATGGTCGGTGGGCTGGGGGCCAGCTCTTAGCTCCAGAATATGCAAGAATGCAGATTTGATAACTTTTTCTCCATACCAAGCTAAGGCGAACTATACTGCATTAGTGCATGTTACTTCACTTGTTTTATGTAAATAATAAAAACCTAAACATTCCCTCCCATAGGAAGGCTCCTATTTCTACCTTTAATTTCTCAGCAGAAACAAAGGCTTCAAGCCCTTACACAGTGTGGGCAAACCAGACCTTTCCACAAGTTCACAGCCAGCCCAAACACACGTGGGCCTGCCCTGGAAAGCACAAGGACCATAACCCAAGCTGCATCCTCGGTCAGGTTTCAGCAGAATAAGAACTTCATTGTGACATACAGAAAAATGTGACTTTTCTGTAAGGTGCAGGGCTCCAGGACAGGCAGGAATGGAAGAGGAAGCAGTGGCTTTCTTCTCAGCAGCAGACCAGGGAAGGGCTAGATATGGGCAACAGTGGAGGGACTTGTCTTCCCCCTGTCCCTCATGCAGCTCCTTGAAGGGTGCTGAAACACAAAAGGACTGAGCTGAACCTCCTATAGGAAAGCCCTGCTTGGGGAAGGGAAATAATCAAACAGAAGGATGAAGAAGAGTTGAGCTGTTTTTTTCTCTCCATCATTCTTGCACTCCAAATGTAATTAAGTTAGAGATGCTAATAATAGACTTCAGTGCTTGCAAACACCTTCAGAAAGTGAGCAGTTTGGGGAAGGATCACAGAGCTGATGTGCTGCTCCAGGCAGAGGGCTCAGAGTTGTTGCTGCTGCTGTGCCCAGACCCTTCGTGCTCCCCTGTGCGAGCTTTGATGGTAACTGATGTTGCACTGTTCCTAAAATATTTTTAATGCCCTAGCCACCCCAAATGCCTTTGCAAGGAACAAGGGGCTTGCAGCACTGCAAATAGATCATGCTGCTATTTCTGGGCCATGCTATAAATATGCTTTTTCTCCGGAAACAGCAGCTCTGAGGTGCAACCTCTTCCCAGCACCTCATCTCTCCTCTTTAGAGCCAGTCTCTCTGCTTCCCTAGAAAATCCCCTCCTGGATTAAAAGCTGGTTCTCTCCAAATACAGCTGCGGAGAGAGCTGGGGGCAGTGGGAGTCCTGTCTCCTCAGCCCCCTCTGACATTACACCACAAGCCACCAGCAGCCACTCCACCATTTTCTATGCAGGGGCATTGGAACTAGATGATCTTTAAGGTCCCTTCCAACTCAAATCAGACTCAATGATTCTTCTCTGATTCCCTTGTCTGGGGAGGTTTGCGTTTGCTGCTTCCTTCCTTGCCCACTGGCTGGTCTCTGCAGCCAGCTGGAGCTGAGGCATCCTCCTCCCACCTCCTCCCTCTGAGACACAGGGCATGTGGATTTCCCACTGAGCAGCACCTAGTGCAGAGTCAGATTTACACAGCCTGAATCCTTATTTACACTTCAATTTTGTCACTGCTCGCACACAAATCACACGCTCTCACCAGCAAGGCTGCAAGTGTTTTCTCCCCTGGCATTTAAGGAAGGAGAGCAGTCCTGCTGGCAGCTAGATATTAAAAATAAATACACTGAGGAAAAAAACAAAACAAAACAACAACAACAACAACAAAAAAAAACAGGAGCTATCAGCTCTGATTGAAGATGAAGACATATTTGGATTTTCAAAAGATAGTGCTTTGACTTAAGCACACAAATGACTGATCACGTTTGTAAGACTGTTCGTCAGCTTTGTACTTGAGGCAAATGATGCACTTCTAAAAACCTATCCCCAGGCAAGGGATGGGCCTTTTTGGAAATCTGGCACAAAAGCAGGAGGCAGCCATGAGCCCCGTGCCCAGCCACGAAGCGCAGTCACCGCTCACCAAGCGCCATCTCCTGCGCCCGGTGCTTTGAACTCAGCTTGAAAGAGAAATGCAAATACCTGACAGGTTTTATTAATGACCCAGCTCAAATCACTTCAGTTTGACTGCAGAGATACAGCCTGAGCAATTCACCGAAATAAACATTTACTCAAGCACCTGAAAGGCTGGAGTACCTATCCCTAGGGAGAAAACAACTTTTTGACACAAAAATGACACTTTCCCCAGTGCCCCTCCCAGAACTGTCAGAAAAGGCCACAAAACCTTTGCTTGGACTTCTCTCACAAACCCAGAGGACTGGAGGTTTCCTCACCAGTTGGCCATGTGAAGGTTGGAGTATTCACATCCAGGCTCTAGGGCACAACAGGCAGGACAGATATTTGTGGTGCACCACATGGGACTGACAGCTGGACACCCACATGACAGAGCTCACTTGGGTTGAGTACATGTGTCAGGAGATCCATGGTGGGGACTGATCTGCATAACCTCACTGAATACTGCACCCTGGGGACAACACCCTCCAGCCTTTCACAGTTGAAGCCTTCATTAAATCAATTTTTAAGTAACCCTAGTACTTTCTTTAAAAAAAAACAAAAAACAAAAAACAAAAAACAAGAACTGCTAGGGTTTGTTGTTTGGGATTTTTTTCATTGTACCTGGAAGCAGCAGCCCCCTCAGCACAGTGCAACCAATTCCTTTCCCCTGCTGCCAACATAGGGATGAGAAGAGGGCAAAGGCTCCTGCATCCCACAGAATGAATCCCCGAGTTCCCTCTCAGTGTTCTGCAGCACCAAGGAAAGGTCTTGTTCACCTCACTGTGAAACAGCAGGTATTACATTAATGTGCCTTATTATACTTAATCCAAAAGGATAAAACAATTCATTTAGACCCCAGCTGGATTCCTTATCTGCCATGAAAACACACAGCTAAAATTTAGCATTTAATCTGAGCTCATCTATGGTCTGTGCTGCTTGGAGAAAACATCACAGCTCCTATCACCCTCCTGGCATTCCTATATTCCCATATGCACTTGTATTTTAAGCAGATCAGTAAAACCTGCTGATCCCACACTGACATGATCCCCTGAGCTCTCGGCACTTTGCAAGGCTCGTACAGGGTTCAGGGTTTGCAAAGGCCACCTGGGTCTGTGTGGCAGAGCAAAGGGGATGAACAGGAACAGAGACACTGCAAGGGTGACCAGGAGCCCCTCCTGCTGCAAGCCCTGCACACTGGAGATCTGCCAGCTCTGGTTTCCACCCAGTTGCCTGCCCACATGCATCAGGTTGTAGGACCAGGGCCACCTGCAACCATAGCCCTCAGTTACCAGCACCCAGAGACCTTCCAGGAAGAGCCCCAGGAACCAGCACAGGAGGAGCTGTGCCCATGGGCCCCACAACAGCAGCGTTTTGTGCTGAGGGAAGGGCCAAACTTCCATGTACAGGATCACATGGTATTGGGAACTTGGAGCAGAGCCAGAGCCCTGCACAGTTCATCAGACAAGCTCTTCTCTCACCTGCTTGAGTTTGGACTAAGACCTACAAGCACACACATCTGATTCACACATTCATCTGATACAGGTGGGATTTTGGGGAAGACCTTCAAAAAGCTCCCAGAGACCAACCACAATGAACATTACAGCCCCACTCCCAGGGGAAGCTTTCCCAGCCACAGGTGCCTGTTCTCGTGCAGGCAGGAGCTGCCTTTCCTGCCTTCACTTACCTGAGCAGGGCTCCTGCTGTCTCAGCATCAATGACCAGGTTTCTGCAGAGATTTTTCCCTGCTGTGGAGCTTTGAGGCTTCCTCTTCCTTTCCATTTTAGCAACTTCAGATTTTCCACCCAACACTGCAGTTTCCTTCAAAGCCCAGATTTTACAGAGCAGCACCAGCAGCTTTCTCCTCGAGCACCTCTTTCCACTTGCTGGCAGGTTCATTTTCCTTAACAGCTTCTTCTTCTGGGATGAGCAGAAATTCACCTGCCTGCCAGATAACCAGTTTGATTGGTATTAACTGATTTCCCATTAGCCCCCCACTCTTGGTTTTTGGTTGTTTGTTTGTTTGGTTGTTGTTTTTTTTTCTAACCTGTATCTCATTTTCTCCCTCTTTGGTTCCCATCCCTCCTCTTCTCCACTTCTAGGTTTTCACCCCAAACACAAGTCTCCAGCTCCCTGCGACCACGCAGCCCAGCCCACAGCTCCGCTACACACTGGTTTTTAAGGTAGATGCCCTGTGCAACTTCTAGCACTCCCCACCTTCTTTTGTGGGTGCAAGATGAACACAGAACTCCTCTGCGCTGCACAAAAGCAGCCCAAAAGCTCCTAAAGGAACCAAGCGAATTGATAGGTGAATCTGCTTCTACCCTTCTTCTCTCACCCTGCTTCTTGTCCATCTGTCCTGACAGCATGCAGCTCTGGCACATCACTGCCTTCAGGCTAGGTGGGCTCCCAGAAGTTGGGAAGCCAGTAGCAGGGAGTTGTAGCATGTAGGATGCTTTTGTATGGATGTGCCCAGATTTTATGAAATAAACCCCAAACTTGGAACATTTGTGTTCTGCTCAGCTGGGAGTTGCTGCATCATTCAGCTGCAGCCATGCACCACTTACAAGGAAGGCTGGTTTTAAATTGCATGTAAAAGTTGCAGAGGGTGGGTCTTCTGTGATACACTGAAAGAGATTATTAGTAGTGACAATTTAGAGAGGCTCCATGTGGCTTCCATCAGCCTTGCAGAGAATCACAGACTCCATCAATACTGCAACACACTTTAACAATTCCAGTAACTTTAAATTTGCCCAATGGCTTAGACACTGTTCTGGCACCGGAGCAGCAGTCCCCGCAGCTCAGCCTTCTGTCGAGCAGTTGCAGAGGATCCTGCTTTTGCTAAAATTCCACTTCGGAGCGTACCAAGCAGCTGACATCACCTGTCAAGCAAGTACCCAACCCCCTCCCCACCAGAGTTTCTGAAAGTCCACATCTGCAGTGCCCAGGCAGAAGTGCTCTGCCTGGGGTAAAGACGGGGCAGCCCTAGACCTGTGGTCCCATTGAGACAGCCCATTAAACCAGTCTCAGGAGAAGGTAGAACCCTCACCCCTCCCTCCAGCACCACCATCTCTGCTGCACCCAGAGCGCTGCAGAACCTTCCATGTCCCACTGGGAGAAACTGCCTTGCCTAACACAGAACACCTCTTCAAACAAGATAAGCAGAAGCCTCTTCATCCCTGAATTCAATTTAATGGGATGGAGAGAATTCACCTACACAGAAAGCTTCCAACACAAACCCTTCCTAAAGCACTACCAGTGTCTTGTACATCCTTTTGAGGAGGGCAACAAGCAGCAGTTTGAAGACCCTCCAACCACACCCAGCGTGAGAACCCACCAGCAGAGTCGTCCTCTCCTGGACACAGCAGAGACTCTCCTTGACCTCTGTTTCCCCTGCTGATGAAGAGGACAACCATTCCTGAGCTGCCACAGCCCACCAGTCACTCCTGGTCTATCCCCAGTAAGCTGCTGTCCCTCCTCCATGGCTCCTCAGCTCAGGCCCCTTCTCTGCGCTGGCCCCAGGGAGCACTAGGATGCTGAGGCCCCAGCTCAGCCCCCACGGACACAAGGCCCTGCACTGGTACTGCAGGGATGCTGTAAAACTGAAATCAGGATTATGGAGCTTGTGACATCCCGTGTAAAACTGAGGCAAAGAAAGCAGATTTATCCAAGGTTTCATGATTGTTCCTTGAGAAAGAGGAGGGTTTAGCTCCCACTTCCTCTAACATCTCATTTTATCACTGCAATGTTGCCTCACTGATTGGAAGAAGAGCCTGCAGAGTTTTAGCCTGACTTAAAACAAATCCATCTACAGCACCAAGGAGACTCTGACTAACACTGAGAGGGCAGAGACAGAAACATGCGTCACTTAGAGGAAAGCCTATCAAACTTGAGAGATCCTAAATTTCTTTTTAAATGACACTGATTAGTCCTAATTGGTGCAGGAGTCAGCATTACCTAGGTCCTGACACCAGCTCAGGAGCTGAATGCAAAGTCAAGTAAATTTCAACTTTAAACTATTCAAAATTCAAATAAAAGTTGTTGGGATTTTTGTCTTCCACTATACGGAGAACACGTTTGGCAATTAATTGTGCAAATGTCTAAGGAGTTAAGAAGCTGTAACAATTTTAGGAGAAAAAAGGTTGAAGTAAGGCAGTAAAAGAGTGAAGGCCAGCTTTGGATAGGCTGCCCATTTCACACCTAGGGCTGAGAAGAACTGATTAATTAAATGGTATCTTATGTCATCATCCAGTATGTAGCAGCAGCCATGGGCTTTCTCATGTTACTGCTTTACTGCTCTCCACTGCTCCAAGACACCACTGCTGGGACCAAAACAACTGGTGCTCGTGGCAAGAGCGGGCACTCCCCACCCTGCCAGGCTTCCACATGCTGCTAAGTCAGGTAACTACGAAAAGGGGAAAAAAAATACATTAAAAAAATAAAAAGGAAAAAAAAAAAGAGACATTTTGGGGAAAAAGGGAAAATTGGATGACTGGGTTCTGTGGAATTTCTATCCCAAATTCCTGCTGACCATGCTCAGCCCTTTGAATTTCCTTTTCTGTTAGCTGAAGGCCCACTGAGAGGGCACAGCAAGACATGACAGTAGAGAAAACAGTCCAAGAAAGGTTGATGCAGGCGAGTGAGGAGTTCATACTGTGGTTTGCCTGAAGGGAGAAGCCCTTCTGGTGGGCACGTATTCCCTGCAAACAAGCAAGACAGCCATGCTACTGGAGCAGATCACTTTACGCTGTGGAGTCACAGGCGTCTATCAGGCTACTGGAGGATCTATAAGGGGAGATAAAGAGTATCTGGACAGCATAATGCACCAGCACTTAAGCTTCTGGGTTATTTCAGGTCCTAGAATAAATATAGCTACGCTTATGTTGCACTTAAGTCTGAACAAAAAGTACTTTCTTCCCCCCAAATTTCTGGCCAAACAAGAGAATGATAAAGTCCTCTCCCCAGGATCTGAGTATCACCTGCGTGACCTGGGAAGTACAGCAGTCTTCACCGCACTGACACTTCAGCACTTAAAACATATTTTCCATTACACATCTAAACCAGAACATCTGTAAATCACATCCTGACAGAACTGAAGTACAATCTGTTCTCAAATTTCTCAGTCACTAAAACCACACAAAAATCTCCTGTTCTGCCTTTCTACTCTGTCAGCTCCCTTATTTCTACCAGAGGCTCCTGTAATTTAATATTTTCCTAACATATTAATACTTTCCTAAGACAGTGAACTCAGCCTATTATAATCTAGCAATTAATTCCTTTCAGCTCCAAAAGCACTTGCCATTGTGTTCATTAACATCGAGGCAATCCCCCATCAGCTGAGAGAAGAAAGCCTCTGGCAGAGGTGAAGGCTGCTGGCGCACACCATGGAGCCTTGAATACAGCTTTCCTGCGGTCTGTCAGACGCCTCCACACACACCCCTTCACACTGTCCTCCAACACCACCTGGGGCTCAGGTAACACATGAGAAAGATTAAATCCAAACACACAGTCCATAAAACACTGTGAAGAAGTCTCAGTCCTGCACTCATAATACAAACACTGAAGTATCCTCTAGGAAGGTTTATCTTCTTCATTGCTATTATTCTTCTCAATGAAAAGCCTTGTTAACCAATTCTATCTTTACCCTGAAGTGACCTTCTTTCCTCCGAAAAATGGATTAGTTATTACTGTAAAGAAACAAGAACAACTCTGCTTATTTGTATGTTCCTGTAGGGATTTCTAGCTTGTCAAGATTTTCAGGTACAAAAGAAAAAGAGAGGCAACAAAAAAAACCCAATCCAGAGACCTTATCTCAGGCTGCAGATAGCCAAGAACCTGGCATAGCAACAACACACAGAAAAAGCATCCAGGGAAACCTTACAGCAGCCTTCCAGTACCTGAATGTGGGGAAGAACTTTTTACAAGAACATGTACTGACAGGACAAGGGCCAATGGCTTTTAACTGGAAGATGGTAGATTTAACTTAGACATTAGAAAGAAATTCTTCACTGTGAAGGTGGTGAGACACTGGCACAGGTTGCCCAGGGAAGCTGTGGAAGCCTTATCCTTGAAAGTGTTCAAGGCCAGGTTGGATGGGGGATGAGGCTTGAAGCAACCTGGTCTAGAGAAAGCTGTCTCTGCCCATGCAGGGGGGTTGGAAACAGACGATCTTTAAAGTCCCTTCAAATCCAAACCATGCTATGATTTCTATGATTTGCATCAGAGGGGTAAGATCAATTCTAGCCCGGGGAGACATCTTGGCTCTGTAAACGCAGATGCCCGGGGCCCTACAGAAGGGGCCATGCCACACCACACCTTCCAATCTCTGCTATCCTAAGGTGTGATCCTTGCAGTTTACACAAGTATCAGTTAATGGAAATGCTTGAAAGAAAAAAAGATAATTTTAACCCACTAAGTCTTCCAGTGCTTGTTAGCCCACTGGCAAGCAGGCTGCCATGGGGCTGGGAGGGCTCCACAGCTCCCCAGACCAGCACCACTGCTTCCCACCGAGTACATCTCTGCTCATGCAGATCAAGCAACTAAACAGGCATACACAGAATATTAAATACTCCCACAAGTAGTGATATATTAATACGATGTACAGTAAAATATATTTGCCTCATAATTCTGGAAATGCCTGCTGAGACAGCTGAATACGAAAATTGCTTGATCCTGGCTTAAGCAGATTAAAGGTTCTTCCCACTCCTTCGTGGCAGCCTGCTGGGCCATCGGGTTGGTCTTACAGTCCTCTGCTCCTGCAAGGTCATGCATGTTTACGGCTGGACCCCAGTTCAAGGAGGGGGCAAGGAAATGGGAAAGCCCAGAGACCTACAGGGAGGGTCCAGGCCAGCAGATGGGGGCAGCTCCCAGCAGACCACCTCCTACCACAGAGGGTCAGA